CTGTATAATGCCTAAGAGGTCAAACAAACATAGGTCAAACCGATCGATAAAGGGTCATTTAGATTGTTAATTAATGTATAGGAATTTATCTGGATCTAGAATTATTGATCTGGCTAAGAATAGAAGAATTTTTGAAAAAAAGCTCACACAATTATGTGCAAAGCATGGATGGGATAAAGTTAGGTGGAGTGAAAAAGATCAGTAGCCGAGTATTTTGTCATCGAGTCAACACCTAACACATGTAGTCGGAGTGACGTATTATCAGTCCTGGGTATATATATAGAACCACACAAATCTAGAAGTCGTGTAAAAATGTTCATATGATGACGAGTAGTAAATTGTACTAGAAACACCATCCAGTTATCAATACTCTGTCACTGGGTATTGTATCAGATATACTTATTACATACGGTATTACACTCTACTACAAGGCTTAAGTTCCACTCTTACATTAGAGAAATTGTATGCCCACAGCCATCTGAAGGAGCCTTATTTAAAAATCGGTTTGTTATTGTTTTTGACAATCTATACATTGAAAACGGAAGGTTTTACGAATCAAGTGTACAGTGAACTACCAGGACTAATTATCACCACTGACTGATCCATAAGGTATAGCAGACTTCAGTTTGCCAAATGAAAAACTGATGGCTAAACTGTATTGACATCTATCTTGAATTCATCAGATGCTTCTGATATCGTAGACTAAAAATTTGAATTCTTAAGCAAATATACAGGGTACAGTAAACAGTTGTCCGATCATTTTATCTTAAACTACATGATATAGTAGATGTAACTGGCAGAGGTGATGAAGATAGCCCACAACCAGCAACAGCAACAACAACGATAACAACAAGAGAACCAATCACTATCAATGGAATAAATTTGAGGGGGGTGGGTTCGTTTCCTTCATTTATCTAGGCAACATAGTTTCAACTGCATGCGACACGGATGAAGGTGTCGAAACCAGTCGCGGTTGGAAGAGCAAGACAGATCTTCACTTAGCTGTACAATCGTATATCTATTATTTTTAAGAAATTATATCCATTGAGAGAATTAGGTCAAAGGTTTGAATATATGAAGTAATAATAATAGTAGTAGTATGAAATGCAATTAAACTATTTATGATTATAATCATAGTTTAATGTCAAGTGGCAAAATAACTAATGTCATATATAGAATAATACATAAGGTGTATAGATTTTGGAAAGGGGTACATAATTATAGGATTAGTAGTCGAATATAAAATGTTACATAACATGGTGTGAAATTTGATAAGATAGAATTCAATATTATAAAAATAAAAAAATATAAAAATGAATAATTTTGGGTTTAGAATGAAAAGTGGATCAAGTTGAAAAGATTCAGAGTGAAAATAGTAAAAATAATAATAATCGTAGTAATAAGGGAAAAGTACATAGAATAACTTAATAAACAAAATAAATAAATGTCTATCCCTCTACGGCCAAGGCAGAAATAGGGATTGTACATACTTCTTTTGTAGACAAAGGTCTGACTCATAGTCATGAATTGCCAAGACCTCAGCTGTCTTTAGAAGTCTGTAACGAAGAAAACGCGGGAAGGTGGCATGGATCCTATATATGATCTTAAAATCATGGTAAAGGTTGACAGAGTGAGAGAGAGTGTTTCAGAATAGAGCTTCTCACACATTTCCTTTCTCCCTTGTAAAACCATCTGTCTGTCTGTTTTCGACATAGAACTTTGCACAAATGTGCACCAGTTCAAGTCGCCACATTCCGTGTAGCACGCGAAGCAAGAGAAGAAAGTACAAGAAAAGCATAATAGAAACAGTGAGCAGAGGTGTGAGACAAAGGAGTAATAAAGAAATAGAAAACAGTTTCATTGAAGATCATAAGTCACAGGGAGTGGATGCATCTGCGCCACTGAGAACGATTTTGAGCCATGTCACCAATTGTTTCCAACCATAGATTTTTACCATCCCGAGGACCCCAGCCTGGAAGTCTACACCTTCCTACGTGGCTTAGACCAACTGTTGTGGATTTCATTGACTGGTGCCATGTTTTTGTTTGACCGCCGCTAGCTTTTTTCCAGCCTGACCCTATATCCGCTAACATTGCTCGTCGAGGGAGGCGATGGCTTGGCATACGTAACACATGTCCTAACCATCTCAGTCGATGTAGCTTCACGACTTCGTCGATTGATTTCCCCTGTTTACCTAGAACTCTACGCCTAACCTCCATGTTGCTCACCTTATTATGCCACTTTACACGGGAAATAGAACGCAGGCACCTATGATCAAAGGCAGCTAGTCTTTTCATGTCTTCCACTCTCAGTGGCCAGGTCTCACAACCATAAAGGAGGACGGAGCGGACTGATGAGCAGTACACCCGCCCTTTGGTCGATAGTCGAACATCTCGTCTACGCCAGAGTCGGCGTAAACTAACAAATGCGAAACGAGCCCCTTGTATTCGTGCTGAGATTTCGTCAGAGATCAGCCCGTTGGGGCTGATGGTACTTCCCAAATAAGTGAAGCGGTCAACGTGCTCTACCACTTCACTTCCTATTTTTAAACTAGGCGTCGATGTAGTCCAGTCCTGTAACATCATCTTGCATTTGGCGGGAGCGAATCGCATGCCAAACATTCGTAGATTGCTGTTCAAGGTGTTTAGAAGACTCTGCATTTCGTCAGCGTCTTCGCCTAGAAGGACTATATCGTCTGCATATTCCAAGTCAACGAGATTATTCCCAGGTAGCAAGTCAATTCCTGAGTCGCTGAAGTCACCTAGAGTTAAGTCCATTAACACATCTATGATGAAGTTGAATAGAAAAGGAGATAATGGGCATCCTTGACGGACACCACTGGTCGTCATCAGTTCAGATGACAGCTCGCCGTTAGCCCTCACCTGGCTGTATGAGTATGAATAGAGTGCTTTAATCAGTGCAATATATTTTCTCGGAATTCCCTTTACAGCCAAGCATCTCCAGAGAACTTCCCGATCGACAGAGTCGAATGCTGCCTTTAGGTCAAGAAATATAATGACTGTTGGACGCCGGTAGGAATGCCTATGTTCTAGAATCTGTCGGAGGGTGAAGATATGATCAATACACCCTCTTCCTGGTCTAAAGCCTGCCTGGCTCTCTCGTGTTTGTGCTTCCCGAGCATCACTCAGTCTACGCATGATTATTGAGCCTAAGACTTTAGATACTATATTAGTCAAAACCATGCTGGAATATGTTCTCGTATCCTTGTGTAAAGCGTCCTCTGATTACGGCCAATGTACCTTGCTCCACAAGAGGAGCAGGTGAACTGATAGATGCACATGGAGGCGGCCAGACGGGAGAGCTTATCTTTTACAGAGGTAGAGAACAACTTGCGACTAGTGAACGTCACATGTAATTTCGCTGCAAAGAACGTCTTACTGACTGATTTAGAGAGACGATTTTCGAGCATATCTGAAGCTTGATCACCTTTGAATTGCAAGTTCATAAATAAGGTTTTCTTTGGAACTGAGTCAGTGACCAGTTTAGACTGCTTATCTTTCATTTACTGTCAATAAATCGGTTAGGGTAACCATTTTCTGCTAGCATGGCTTTTAAGAAGTCAAGTTCTGAGTCAACACAATCAGAACCTGAAATCAGTGCGAGAATCTATAACAATAAGCATTTATGCTTAAGCAACAAGATTCAGATTTCCAACATAAATGTCATATCATATCGCTCTATACTGAAGATAAGATAACCAGTCTGAAAGGATAAGTGACAAAGAACTCCAAAGATAAACTAATCAAGAGCCTGTTTCTTAACTAATATGCAGAATAAAATAAAGAAGACGACTCAGACGCACGCTTAGGAGAACACTGAGTGACATCGCCCGCCAAGAAAGCCTTCTGGTGTAACCTGAATAAGAAACAATAATTTGGGTCTAAGATGAGAATGGCATGCGGGAGGTCATGTGAAGAGGAAATGAAAGCTTATTGACAGTCGTGAAGCCAACTTAAGAAGAATACAGGGAAGAGAATGAAATTATGTGCCGTTGAAGCCCTAAGGGAATAATGATGATAATAATAAGCGCTTTTATATTGTTCAGAGATTTGGCGTTTCAACAAAGGCATTTGATCAACAACTGCCCTCTATGGCTCAATACTGAAGATCAGATAGCTGGTCAGGAAGGATAAGCAACGAGGAACTTGACAACGCAGAGAACCAAACAAAAGCTTGTTGCTTAAAAAGACATGCGGAAGAAAATGGAGATGGATAAGACAAACACAGAGGAGACTGTTGTGTGACATCAGGCGCCAAACTTTCGAGTGGAGATAGGATAGAAAACTACTAGCTGGACATAGATCGGAGGATGGCATGAAGGAGATAGTGTGAGGAGCAGAAGTGAGCCTTTGGAAAATCGTGCAGCTAGCTAAAGAGTACTGAAGAAGCCCTATGTTGCACTCCGAATCTAAGGGAATAATAATAATAATAGTTGGCAGGAACATCTTTCGGATTATCAGGAATGTATATACCAAAATAAGTTGTCTGGCTTTTCCATTACTTATATTTAACCAGAAGTCAGCTCCTTATTATCTGCAATACTTCCTTTATCATTTTGATTTATCATAATATCTTCCAAAATAATAAGTGGTTTTTCCATGTTTTTTTTGTCATATGACCATCAGCCAATATGACCTTATAACATCAAGCTGTACGTCTAACCTAGTTTTTCTCTTAAGTCCTTTAACATCCAATTTTCCATAGTTCTATGCAAACTTTAAAGCACCAGGGCAGTATGGTAGAATAACTATGCTTTTGTATGAACCAATTCCACTCTCAGGCCGTATCAGTGTGCTTCAGAAATTAGAAATCTAACTAACCAATAGAATTTCACTTTAAAGTTAACGTTTAATTCTGATTGGCTAATAATATGTCTATATTTCTGATTGGTTACTAGTCTTCATAAGTATTCTGACTCAGTAAATTCATAAATTTGTCATATTTACCCAGTCGGCTGACTTTCTTCCAACCTTACTAAAATGCAACTTCAACCTCCAGCCTACGAAAGTCTTGTGGCTACAGATATGACAGGAGATGAGAATCTGGATGTTGTCGAGCAGGGAATACATCCTGTAAAACGTAGACCATTCAGTAAATCTCTTCGTAGTCGATTAAATCATATTGTTAGTATGTATATACCTGGAAATAATCCTGTAGAGAATAGATTGGATGGAAATGATGAATCTGCAGATCATGCAGGATTATTATCCTCTAATGAACTAAAAGTGGATTTTAGCTTAACTAAAGACAATGATATATATGATATTAAATTACTTTATTCAAGCGAAAAGATAATTCAAAGTATTATGGAGAATGTCAAGCTGTCAGACAAATATTCTATCGGTGAATCAATGAAAATCACTTGTTTAGCAGCAGATCACAAGACTATCTTCATTGGATTGGAGCGTCTACCATATGTGTTTCTCATTTCTTCTGAGAAAAACGATACCCAAGTCAAAAATCTGGTGGCAATAGTATTTTCAAAGGTTATGTCCATTTGCATACCCCTGGGATAGGAAATATTTTCCCGGTTGAATTATGCAGCCATTCCGCCAAACCTGATCATACTGTTCTTTATGTTGTTGGAACTGTACAAAAATCTGAGAGTGTCACTGCAAAACAAAATTGGATTTTAGCAAAATTTGATACATCTGGTCAACTGCTTGCACGTAGTCGTGTTTATCCATATCAACGATATTCTGGTTTATCAGTGGATACTAATGATGGCCAGTTGTTACTTGCTTGTCCATCTATCAATGAATCTGGATCACCTTATAACAACACCACCACCAACAATTGCAATGATTCCCCTGGACAAATATGCAAATTAACACCAGGTTTTGAGCGTCGAATCTTTTCTATTACAATGGGTAAAGAATCTGTATTCTATAAACCAAATTATGTAACACAAGAAACAGCTGGTCATTGTTGTTGGGCGTCTGTTGAACGTTTTGCTCAAGGTAAAGAAAATACAGAAAACCAGCATCAACCAACAAGACGTCTTCTAGCCTTCCCTGGACGTCAACCTAATGGTGAAGTGAAACAAAGTGCAAGAGATTGGTTACACACTTATTCATGGGATTTTGCTGATCTTAAACCAGGCAGAATAACTGCATTCGATGCTGATCGTCTGTTGGTAATTGATTCTGAAACTGGTACATTGTCTTATATCACTTGGCCAAGTGATCAAGAGAAACCAAGTCTATATCGTATTACACGTCCTTCATCCAAACCTATACGTTTGTTGTATTCAGTTTATAATAACAGTCAAGTTGGTTTGTCTGATGCGCAAACGAAGGTGGCCTATTTTGTCGCTGGTTCAAGTATATTTTCATTTTCGTTTCGTCATAATGCCTCCTCATCAGCTGTTTCAACCAATAATAATATTAATACAGGTGATAATGCTAACACTAAACAAATAAACTAGTGGGATTATTCGTCTCAGTTCTCTCTTCTTCTTTATACAATTATACGTGCAAGTTATTTCACATTCACATCAATAACCTGTATAGGACTAATCATAATCATAATTATTATTGTTATCATCAGCTGGAGGAATAATGAACACAAGTAAAGTTCACATTGCGTTTTTTTTTCTGTATCACTGATAATTAACATTGGAATTGATTTCTTTTCTGTGTATGTCTGTGTGTGTAAGTGTGCTGTTTAACACTCTATGCCATATTTACTCGTACATAACTTGAAGTTGAGAAGTATATCTTGTGTTTATCCTTGATTAAATTATTAAGGCCACCTGATTGATGTTTCTTTTTCAAAATGGTGCTTTACCTTTCTTTATTGATTGTTTGTTTACTATATGCCTCAGTGTTCATTTCAATTTATGCAAGTATTGAATACTCACAGTGGAATAATACCAGTCAATGTGATGCTGTTGTTATTGTTGTTGCTCTTATTGATTGAAGATAGACAATCTTTGTGGAGGCGTAAACCCCAGTACTGCTCTGGACTTTTATTGACAAATAAAGCCATCATGCTGTAATGAGGTAGGACAACAACTGTTGAGTGTTGTGATTATAAAAGAAAAGAAAAGTGATAGAGATTGACTTTAACAATGAAGAAGGACGCTTTGGTGTTTTTTGTCAATTGATGATGACATCATCAGTCTTCTGCGAAATAGATTATGGTATCATCCATCTTATATTATATATTATCTTTTCTTAGCATTATTTTATATGTTAATAAATATTGTTCATTATGGACTACTATCCTCCACACAAATGTATATGTTTCATAATTAACTATTATTATTATTATCATTACTATTATTTGTTTGATTTTTTTTGTTTGTTTACTTTGGTTGCTAATTAACTGTAAATGTGAACATTTGATGATAAAGCTTTTTTAACTATAAATATTTATGTGTTTACTGTTTTTAATAATCTCATTGAAGAATATATATTAAATTTTTAGAAAAATAAACAACACATACCAATTGCTTGTGTAATGATTTCATCACTTTTGGTTAAACAATGTTCAGCGATTGATTACACTTGCATTCGATGGAAATACTCTCTCCCTATTGATATTTTAGCTCCTAGTACGAACGTTTCGACAGTGTTTGAAAGTGAATATGGGCCAAATTAAAGTTTGAACACACCGAAGGAGTGCGACTTACCAATGGCCTTGAGACACTTAGTCAACAAGTCGAGGAAATAAGGAAGATAAACACTATACGCATGAATAATATACATGCTTAATGAAGGGTTATGATATTGATCGGGATATCTGGTAAATTTTAGGTTATTTGTAGGAAAGATTTAGTTAAATTTTGAGATAAGGATAGGTTAAGTCTAGGTTGACCTAATATGGGAGATATTAAGGTCGATACGAGATGGATAAGGGGCAGTTTAGGGATAGTTTCACTTGCAAAACTAAGGGTCATTTTTGTAACACATCGGTGAATGGTATCCTGCGTTACAGTTTCATGTTATTTTATTCATTATTGTCATAAATATTTGTACTTTACATGTAAATATAGCCTTTTTAAAGTGTGTGGTGAGCTGCACTCCTTCGATGCTGAAAGTTTAATTTCTCCGGTTAATGTGGCTTCATATAAAATCGGTGATCACTAAAAGTGGAATTGAGGATAGGAATATGTTAGGTTTGAGTCTCAGTGGGCGATACACCATCAGTGACTGGGGTATACAAGTACATCTAACTGAAGAGTCTAAAATGGGATGACGCATACATATTAGATCCCAGCACTAGTCACCATCAGTCTAATAACACATAGTTGTATTTATGTTGGTTAGAGTGTGCATTATAAATTAATGTATGCGGTGATGATTGAAAGATTGACTTAATTTGTGAATGAGCTATTAGCTTGTTTGAAATAAAATTTTGTTGATTCACACAAAAAGTAGTGTAACAACAGAAGACAAGGGCCAGGCAACAGATCATTTATTAAGGAAATCAACACATATTTATAGATTTTCATGTACATTATTATAGATTATTGCTATCAGAAAAACACAGTCTTCTGATTGGTGGTTGTTTCTCACAGAAAGTTAACCTTGCATCTCTTTGTGACTGTTTCTTGAATGTCAGATCATCTATACGTTAACTGTATCCGCCTACGCAAAGCCTTTGTTCTCATTTTTCTCACGACCAATATTGGGTACATAAACACTGACGTAAATTACTGCCCACCAATTTTGGTTAACAGCCAGCTCTCACCACAGTAGAAGTCTCGTTGGTTGGAATTGTCCCTCTATTTATTATAACAACGTCTAAATACTAAAAAGCAGATTTAATTCTCTTTTCTTGGCGTGCTAATTTTATTTCAGATTTTAGTCATGAACCAACATCAGTTAGAGAGATCATTGAAAACTAGGGAAGGCTGGACAAGTGTTTCGTCTTATTCCTGGACTCTTCAGTAGTACTCACCCATGGCCCTACCAGAGATCGAAGTCGCAACCTTCAGGTTACAAGACACAGGCTAACTGACCATTCAGCCACTTAGGCTGGAACTAGGTGACCCGCGAACTCTAATCTCCGTAAACTTGTGGTATAGGCCTACCCTCGCTAATTTTTTCGATAAGCATCCCCTTCACCCTGATGTAATGTACTCTACTGATCATAACTTCTCACTTCAACTTCGTGGCCATGCATCCAGTCGCCATCAATGGACTGGGTATTGATATTTAGACTGTGAGATTTCGGTCAACAAGGATTAGCGAGGTCATTGGGAACCACGGAGCACTGGATAGCTATTTTGTCCTATTTTTGAACTCATCAATAGTTAAATTTCTTCAGTTAGTTATTTCATCAGAAAACTATAATTTTTTGTGAGTTCAAATCAAGGAGACGTTAGTTTTTGAGGTTCTAGGTATATGTTACCCGAATAAGTAATATGATTGTGGCTACTCTAATATGCTGACTGTATGGATGACATGTAATAAGATGTTAGGCTATTAATAGTCCATTCATTTTTTCTTTACACAAAGCAGGAACCTTCCAATTCAGCTTAATTTATGGTTTTTGTTTTTTCAAATTTATGAAAGCGAGAAATCGTATCGACAGACCTTTGTAATTCTTAAGTAGCCAACTTAAGTTATCCTATAGTAATTTTATTGATTTCTTTAACCTCTCAACTGCCACTACATGAAGGAACATGTTGGATTTTTACTCCCCCTCCCCCCGCAATAAGTCCTGAATATTACACAAAACACATATCCTGGATTCCACTACAAGGCATTATCAAAGATGCAGCTTTAAATTGGAAATCCTGATTGTATAAAGTTCAAAATGGAGTTGACCTATTCGGTTTAGAAACCTCAGCGAGAAATCATAAGTTGGTTTGACTCTACTGTCTATCATTTATTCGAAAAAAAGGATCTCGCGATGACATTTTCTTGTGTAATTACTAGTCAAAGTTATTCTATTATATGGTGAAGCAAATGTATTTTAGAAAAAGTAATAAATAAGTCCTAACTAAGTTTTTGCAGAGGAGTAGATTCCACCGATTGACATTTCGAAGTCTGACATACATGCACTGGCTTTCTGTAAAGATTATTTAACAGTTGACTTTAGTGTATTTCTCTAATTAAGTCATATGACAAAGTCATGAAGTTATATAAAATGAATGTTAATCATGTAGATTTTTAGTGATTTCGCAGTGAAACTCGCTTGTTGTATATTTAATCCTAGATTCTATTATCTAGTCTTTTAAACGCTACTGTGCGTGAGACAGAATTCGCACACATAACTAACTGGTCAGAAGTTGAATGACTTGAATCCTAAATGCGCATTTCTATTACTCAGATCTTGGACGATCCATAACAGTTACAATCAACAAATGAACTTCAAAACCAATACTTGAAAATTAACCTTGTGCTCACCAGCGACTGGCCCTATTTAGGCGGTTAACCTGGAGTTCTGGTGGGAAGCCGTGACCAGCAGGGTACAGCAGGTTGAATGTAAGGCAGTAACTCATCGAAGAAGACATTGAGAAGTGGCCACGCTATGTTGTGAAACGGCAGAAGTTAGAATTCATGGGTTGGGTCCTAACGGCTTAATGGTCAACTAGCTCGCTGGCCTTTTAACCGGAAGGTGCCGGGTTCAAACTGATGAAGAAACCCCGATTAGGACAAAACAACCGTCCAGTACTCACAGCTGGTTTTCCAGTGGTTCTCTAACCGATGTCAGCTCCATCCAATGACCTCTTTCAACTTAGCATCTCGCTAAGAAACACCAACATGAATGAAACATAGACTAATTGATTTTAAAAATTAGTCTTATAACGAGCTGACATCATTTAGTGAGCTAGTGAAAACCAGGAGGTAGTGAACAACTCTCTCCTCTTAGCTGGACACTCTACAGCAGTATACACAAAAAGCCATACCACGAAATCAGCTGATAGATTTGAGCCAAATTAGTCAGAATCCAATTGATTTTTATCAAATATCTCTAATTATATAGTGTGAGTCAATCAATAGTGAAATTATTTTCGTACGACTTTTCAGGAGGAATTTTGATGCTTGTAATTTGTCACTACTAATTAATTAGTGTCAGTCATCAACGGAACTAGATTACTAATCAATGAAAGGTCTCATATGAATCTAATTCACTCAACGCATAATTCTACAATTTCAGATGGGTGTATTTCATTGGATTTTGGGGTAGAGAGTGAACATTTTGAAGATGTTTTTATCTATTATATTCGAAACGCAACTAGGGCATTACCATCGTTGTTTAACTGTAGCCATAAATGGAATATCGAGACAAACGTTTAGCAGTAACATTCAGTAGAAGCTAAATTATAACATCGAGTGATAATTATTATCCCCTCAGGTTTCGAATAGAACGTAAGGCTTCAGCTGCACACCTCCATTTCACCCTGTTCTCTACCACCCATGAGTTCTCATCCCCTCCTCAAAAGATCTCCCCCATGTCACACTCTAGTCT